GCCCCCCCGCCCTCACTCTCCGCATGCTGCCACCTCCACTCCCCTCTGCTCTGAGGACACCTGAGAGCTAAGCATCCACCTGCCTTCTAGCCACTCTCAGCAAGTGGAGGGCCCGTGAAAGGCCCAGATGCCTCCTCTGGCCACCAGGCTGTCCAGCCAAGGTCATTTCTGAGCAGCCCATGAGCCTCTCACTGAACAGAAGTGTCGCTGGTGGATGTCTGCTCGGGCTCTGCCCGGGCCCCTCCCCCGTGGGCCTCCCCTCTCCCGAGCCTCTAGCCCAGGCTCCAACCTGGGCACTCAGCTCTCTCCCTGCCCCTCTCTCCTCTCCCAGACCTTGAGCAGAGGATCCTGCAGGTGTTGAAGGGCGCTGGCACCCCTGTGAAGGCTGCCCAGCTGGAAAAGGAATGCCAAGTGCCCAGGAAGGACATCAACCGTGCTCTCTACCGGATGAGAGATAAGTTGCAAGTGGATCGCGATGACTCTGCGAAATGGCGCTTGAGAGAGGGTGGGCCTGGAGAAATGGTTCCCACAGAGCCGGCCCGGCCCAGCCATGGTAACCTGCCAACCTTGGGTGGGGGTGGTGTACCCAGCACCAGCAGTCCTGGCAATGGACAAGCCTGGGTTTGGGCCTGGGTTTGAATACAGGCTCCGCCCCTTGGGGGTGCACAATGTCCCCTCATCGTGCCTTCACTTCCTCTTCTGGCCAATGGAGACGAGAGCAGGGCTGCTTCGTAGGGTTTCGAGAGGATTAGATACAAAGGTTTCAGCCTAGTGCCAGCACATAGTAGGTGCTCAGCAAAGTACAATAATAACAGAAAGTAGTGATGGCAATGATAATGATGATGATAGAGCAAAGTTAACATCACACTAGATCAGTGGTTCTCAACCTTCTGGCCCTTTAACTACATTCCTCATGTTGTAACCCAACTGTAAAATTATTTTCGTTGCTACTTCATAACCGTAATGTTGCTACTGTTGTGAATCGTCATGTAAATATCTGATATGCAGGATGGTCTTGGCGACCCCTGTGAAAGGGTCGTTCGACCGCCAAAGGGGTCGCAACCCACAGGTTGAGAACCGCTGCACTAGACCCTCTTAGCCAGTTCTGTAGCCCACAGACCAAAAGAGCTGACATTGGTCAAGTGCTTACAGTGGACCAGGGCGCACCCAGGGTTCCCTGGATGCAAAGAGACGGCACTCAACCCCCTTTTCCCAGAGAAGTTAGGTAGCAGGGCAGCCGCACAGCTGGAAAGAGGCAGGGCAGGGTTAGAGCTCGCGAGGCCCTCCGCCTTCGCCTGGTAGAGTCCCGTCCCCTCCCTGCTCCTACACCCCTGGCCGTCTTCCTCTCTCCAGCAGACGGGACCCTGCAAGACAGTTGCCGTTTCCAGAAACCTGGCTTTCAGCTGGGTGACCGCGGAAGCACTGGCTTCCTTTCAGCTGCTGGGACAAGGGCCCGTTTCCTTCGCCACAGGACAGGCTATGAGAGCTCAGGGCCATGGCCCTCCCACCCCACCGGGAGGTTCCCACTAAGCGCCCGGACGCAGCGCTCAGGCTCTGTGGTGGAAGAAGCTAACGGCCTGAGAATCGATCCCTCCGGTCAAGAGCTGACATCTCTGTGCAGCCCCGTGTGCCAGGCGCGCCCGGAGGCTCGGTGCCCGTCCCCGGCCCCAGGACAGCCTCCGTGGGCACTGTGATCATGTGTGTCTGATGGACGAGGGAACGGGCTCAGAGGGGCTGCGGCTGCCCAGGGTCCCACAGCTAGTAAGCAGTGGAGCAGACTCAAACTCCAGAGTCCTCCTTAACCACCCACCCTCCTGCCTCCCACAGAGCTGCAGGAACAGATCTTAAGGTTGCTGGAAACCAGAGGGCCCCAGAGGGCCTTGAGCATCGCCAAGTCCCTGGGGATGAAGACGTCAAAGGATGTCAACCGATACCTGTATGCCATGCAGGAAGAGCACCTTCTGGACTTGGACAAGAATTCAAAAACATGGAAAATTTATCAACCAGGTAGGCCCTTATGTGCTTCCCTGGGCAGGGCAGGGAAAGACACGCTCTGATGCCCAACCTGTGCTCCTTGCTGGGCACCCTGCTGAGCACTCGGCCTGCTCCACCTTCAGAACCTCCCAGAAGCTTGCACTTGTCTTGCTGACCAGTCACTGGAAGGGATTCCAGGAGGGAGGAGCATGACGGGGGAGTAACCAGGGAGGGCCTCCTGGAGGCAGGGCCTGAGGCTGTAGCTGCAGAAGGCAAGGGGCTGGGAGGGGCGGCCCACTCCTGACTGTATTGGCCTGGGCGCAGGGCTCAGCCTGAGGTTGCTGACAGTTCGTAGGCACTTTGCCCAACTCGGAGTGGGCATTGCTGAAGGAGACCAGGCTGGGCTCAGATAGCGGGGGGCGGAGTCCCAGGGCGACTTATCCACCAGGTACAGCAGTCGCAGGGCCTCGAGCCCACAGTCCTTTTACAGCCCCACAGAAATGTTCTCATTCCTCTTAAAATCAGAAGAAAACAGTGAACGTTATAATCATAATAACGACTCTCGCCTAGATTATATGTCTTTATCCCAATGCAGTCATAACATATAATTTTAAAAAATATGTTTAATGGAGGAAGTGGGCCCACAAAGGCACAAGAGCCCAGGGCCCACGGAGGTGGGAATGTGGCCGTGTGTGCAGCGGTGAAGGCCGGGGCAGGTGCCCCCTGGCCCGCGTGGGCGGACACGCCTGCTCCAAGGGCCCTCAGCAGCCTAGGAGTGACGCCCTGCGACAGCAGCCGATTTCAGACACTGGTCACAAAGGCAAATTCTTAAACATGCCTCGGAAGGCAGGCAAAGCTTCTCTGTGGACAGCCGCCAGCCTTGGCTGGGGGGCGCTCACGGTCAGCGTGTGGCTGCCCGAAGGGAGAGGGGCAGAGGGCAGGTGAGCAGAAAGCTCCCCGGTCCTCTCGGGGCAGCAGAGGACACTCAGGCAGGGTGACGATGTCCAGGGGAGGGTCATCCGAGATGCCGGTGGCATTTGTCAGACATGCCCGTTCCTGGCCAGGGGCTCCGGACTCAGCACCCGGAGGGCACTGGGACTCTATGTCCAGGCTTGCCAGGAGACCTAGTGCTGCCAGCCGGCAGTTGGAGCACCAGATCCGTCGGGGGATGCGGAGGGGTTGAGTGGCATGTTATTCCACAGGGACTCCCAGGGCCCCCCCCATCATTTACCAGCAAAGCCCTGTCATGATCTGTCAGAACGCACCCCACAGCCACATCTCCATCCAGAACTCCGAAGCCGTCCAGATTGGACACGGGAACACCATCGTGAGACTAACGGCCCCTGCGGAGAGCGGTGAGTCCCCTGGGAGACGCCGTGGGAGGACCTGGGGCAGCTGCTCTGTCCGGGTGGGTCAGCGAACAGGGGGCAGTCAACCCTCCGAGGAGAAAGGGCGGCCTTCAGATCACCACGGGCCTCCTTCACGGCCTCCTGAGAGTGAGGGCGTCTTTCCCATGCCTGGATCGAACCCTTCCTGATTCCCTTTCATTCCAATACCGTTCACCTCATTTCCCAGGCGACCGATCTCTTCCCATGAGAAGCAGTTCGGGTCGCTCCCCTCAGGAGGGTGGCACAGGGGCCACTGCAGCATTCTGTTTATTCCGAGACACACTGTGTTCTCCACACTGTCACATCTCTAGCACTGGAATGCATCTCGCCAGTGGCACCCTAGTCATGAGGAAATATGGCCCTACAGGCACTGTGGTGAGAGGGACAACAGTGAGAGCATCAGCCCCCAATTGGGAACACTCCCTGCACTTCTAGAGAGCCCTTCCCCCTTCTGGGCCTCAGTTTCCCCGGCTGTGAAAGAAGAACTTTGTCTGAAAATCTAGATCAACGTTTGCCCAATGTCAATCCTCTGAGCCTCCCCCCGCCCCCCGATTCCAGCCAGGCCCATGTCTGACTGCTGACTCCATGTTAAAGGGTTTCCCTTTCATTCTGCTCAAATGTCTGTTAGAGTAAATTTGTGCAGCAGCACCTCGTGTGGGAACAGGAAGGTCACCATAAACAGAAGCGCTGAGAGAAGTGCCGGAGGCTCTGAGCCGGTCAGAGACGCGCCTACACCAGAGGGACCTCCCCCTGAGGGGCTGGCGCACTGAGGGTGGCGCGGAGGGGAGGGTGGGCTCGCTGTTTGCGTTTCGAGTGCCCCAGTGATGCTCTGACTCCTGGGGACCCCGTGGTAACTGCTGGGCCCCCCTTTCCGATGGGGCCAGGAAGGGTCCGGAGGCCTGTCTCCTGTCCAGCCAGCACTTGGTGTGTGTGGGTGTTGGGAGGGTCAGAGGTCATGTTGCTGTGTTTCCTGCCAGGCTCCATGGCTCCCGGCTACCTCCCTCTACCACCAGCAGCGGGTCCCTTGGGTCAGGATCCCCCGGCTGGATCCTGGGGGCCGCAGGACGTCCGCATAGACAGTACTGTGCTCAAATATGTGCAGCTGGGACAAGGCAACAAGATGAAAGTGCACACCACCCCGGCCACGGGCGCTGGCCACAGCCCCCCAGGTAACAGGGGGTCATGCAGCCATCTGCCCACCCCACCCCACTTGTCTCCTCAATGGATGGAACCTAAGCCAGTCTTTGCAGGGAGAGAGGCATGATGGGAAATTCCTTTCCACCCACGAGAGTGGAGCAGGTGGGGCTTTAAGAGCTAGTACTCAGGCTCCCAGCCCTACTACGCCCCTCAGGAACCCTCAGTGTTTTCATCTGTACAATGGGCGTGCAGCAGCAGAGGTCGGGGCAGCTGAAGGGGGGACAGAAGAGATGGCCGACTGGGATGGCATCTAGGAGGGTGGAGGACAGGAGCCACCGAAGGACCTGGTGCCCTACTATGCACTGTCGATGGTGACCAGAAGGCCTAGGCTGTGCCCTCCTGGTCACTGGTAATCAGAGGCAGGCTGGGGAGAAAGCCAGCAGAGAGGCTGAGAGGGAGGGGAAGCCAGGGATGCAGGTTCCAGAACGGGGAGACCAGTGAGGCCTGAGGAGCTCCATGGGGTCCAGCCACCAGGGTCAGCGGCGACCTGAGGGGACAGAGGAGTGTGGGGAGTGAGAGGAGGCGGCTGAGTGTGGACAGTCTTTTCCGAAGTGTGGGTGGGACCGGCAGGAGCAGGACAGCAGGGGCTGGGGGCCTCGAGAAGATGTGAACCGAAGCTGGAGGTATCGTTCTAGAGCAGCGGTTCTCAACCTGTGGGTCGCGACCCCTTTGGGGATCGAACGACCCTTTCACAGGGGTCGCCTAAGACCATCGGAAAACGCATATATAATTACATATTGTTTTTGTGATTAATCACTATGCTTTAATTATGGTCAATTTGTAACAATGAAATTGGGGGTCACCACAACATGAGGAACTGTATTAAAGGGTCGCGGCATCAGGAAGGTTGAGAACCACTGTTCTAGAGCTTCTGGGCAGAAGGAGGAGGGGCAGGAGGCAGGGGAGAGGGTGGTTGAGTCCCAGGCACAGCATGGAGGACCAGGTCAGCTGGGCAGCAGGAGGAGGTGGGACCCACGCCGCCCCCTAGGGGCAGAGGACAGAGAGCCTGCAGCCCAGACAGGCTGCAGAGGCGCCCGGGGAGGTGGGGCCAGGGCGCCAGCACAGGGAGGGCTGGAGAGCCAGGCTGGGGGTCCGGCTCTGGCCCAGCTGCTCACCGCCCCCCT